TTAAAAAAACTACATATCATTTTTGCCATTTTATAAACGCCGGCGCTTATACATTTCCTCGATTATAAGCGCACCCCCTAAAAAACAGTGTTTTTTTATACCCCCAGGGGCGCTACAATCCGGGGGCTGACGGTATGTTTAAGCCATGTAGCCCAACATATTGAACCCGTTACAACTAAAGCCCCATCTTGAGTTCGTATATTAATTACAACTTAGGCGATGAAATTATCACAAAAAGTGCAAGCTTTTTGTTGATATTCACACGTGATGTTGAAAAAAAAAAAAACAAAAAAACCCTTACCGCCTAACTCCCCACTTCCTGCTCCTTCTCCTTACACAGAGTTGACAGACTCTCTGACTGAGCGTCGAGAGTCTGCGTCCCGTCCTGCCTCGCCTGTTGCTCGTACTCGTCGTGCTCCCCGTGTTCGACCTCCACCTGTTCCCGGCACACACACCATGGCACTTCGTCCTTCCTCTGTTGCACAGCGTCCTGTCCTGCCATCTCCTCCAGCGTCCTCTCTTCCTGACGTTCCTGACCCTGAGTCTGACATTACTCGTGCTGCTAGTCCGACTGTCACTCGTTGTCTGGCCACACTTGTCACTGACCCTACTTTTGAGTCTGCTGCTGTGTCTGCCTTAGTCACTGAGCTCGTTGACTTTGCTGTTGACTGTAGTCTTGATACTTCGCGAGTCTTGTCTCTGAGTCTGGCTGTCCTCCGTCCGTCGGGGGTGAGCTTTCTCTTGGCTGTGGCGTCCTTGAGGACAGGCAATCTGAGCTGGAGTGCCTCGCGGCTGCTGCACCTCATCTCGCTACCATGCTGCTTGCCCCTGAGGGAGACCCGAATGCACTGGACATCCCGACCCCGCGCTCTTACGCAGAGGCGATCACGGGTCAGTACTCATCTCAGAGGCAGACTGCCATGGACGCAGAGATGACATCCTGGAAGTCCACAGGCACCTACGTCGACGCAGTTCCCCCTCCTGGGGCGAACATAGTCGATGGCATGTGGATTTTCAGGGTGAAGTGACCGCCGGGTTCGCCGCCTGCCTTCAAGGCGCGTTACGTTGCACGAGACTTTAGTCAGCGTTAGGGGGTCGACTTCTTCCAGAACTTCTCCCCCACTCCGAAGATGACCACTCTACGGGTGTTACTGCACGTTGCAGCACAGCGTGACTACGAGCTGCACTCGCTTGACTTCTCCACAGCTTTCTTGCACGGTAGCCTTCACGAGGAGATTTGGCTGCCACCCACCTGGCTTCACTGTGTCGTTTCCTGAGAGTACCCAGTGTGTGAGAGTACGACGGCTTATGCCAGCTATGCTTGCTTGCCTTTACTTTATTATGCTATATCTAGCTTGGGTTTTATTTATCATGCATAGATATGCTTGATTTCCTAGGTTAGGTGCATTCCTATATTTTATTATAGTTATAGCACCGAACCAGGTTACGTGTACCGAACTCAAGCCTATTTGGTTTCCACCGAATCGCTTTCTACTGAGTTCGGGAAGGTTTTGTTCGGGACGCTTCGCGACCCTCAGAACATTCGCGTAACACCTGGGTAACTGGCCTTGTGTCGAGACTATATATAGCCTCGTGTTGTACCCAGGTGAGGCATTCAATTCAAACCCACTTTTCTGAGCTCGATCCTAGATCCTCACACTTGGTATCAGAGCCTGTTTGCACGCGAAGTTTTCGACCGCTAAAACCTAGCTTTTAAAACCGCGGGGGCGACGACGAAAAGCGCCGATTTCGGGTACGTAAACCAGTTCCGCGCTATTTTCTAACGTCCCCCTCGAACCGGTTTTCGAACACTCCTCAGGTCCAGTGGCGGAAAAGTTGGAATTTCGACCGTCAGATCGATTCAAATCTCAACGGCCCTGAGAATTTCGCCCAAAAAAGTTGGAATTGGGAGCGTCGGATCGAATTTCTTCTCAACGGCCGAGATCGGACGTGAATTTCGACTAAGGGAGAATTATGCGACCTACAGAATCAGCGCTCGTCATTTCTACAGTCGATTCGACTCACAGTAAGATGACCAGCGCCTAGAATTCAATTATTTTCGTCGCAAATCTTCCTGTAAATCGCCAAATGGAGGAAAATGGTGATAATTATGTACGAAAAATTACGGAGTTACACACCGACGTGGACCTGATGCGAGCGGCACTCCAGCGAATAGAGGAGCTTCTCGCGAACCAGTCGGCAGCCGCCACAGCAGCAGCAAACGCAGCAGCGAATGCAGCAGCGACGGCAGCAGCAGCAGCGGCGACACCGACACTTCACCCAGCAGCAGCTACAGTGAATCTCGAGGCGGCACGTCCGAGGCTACCGGAGACGTTCAATCCGAATGCGAGAGACACCGACGTCCGTCGATTCATTGCGACCCTCGAAATTTACTTCGAGGCCGTTGGCTGTACGACCCCGACACACGATGCAATGCGGATTCGGCTCGCAGCGACACTGTTGCGAGGCCCGGCGCTCGAGTGGATTTACAACAGTAATGAGATCCGAGGCGAGGGGTCGTGGACGCAGTTTCGGGCAGCTTTAATTCAACGTTTCGAACCAATCAACTCCAGCTACATGGCGCGGCAGCAGATTCATCGGCATAAACAGTTCGGCAGTGTAACACAGTACACGCAGCAGATGGAGAGCCTCTTCAACCGAATAACCGACCTGACCGAAGGGGAAAAAATCCAAGCGTATACTGAGGGGCTAAAGATGGAAGTCCGCCGACAGGTGATTGCCGCGAACTACAACAACTACTGCGACATGGTGTGTGCAGCAGAGAGATTCGATGCGCTGATGCGAGATCAACCCGAAACACGACGATGCGTGCCGAACAGATCATTCGGCACGGAGCGATCGGCACCACCCACGACCGCCGACCCGATGGATATCGACAAGATCGACGCGAAGGGAAGGCGGAGCTGAAGAAGAGACACACCTGCACTGACCTGGGTGAGTTGCGGAGCTACCTTGGCTTGCGGATCACCCAGGACAGAGTAGCGCGCACCATCACTCTGACTCAGTCACACATGGTGCAGCATGTCCTTCAGCGCTTCCGTTTTCAGTTCTCCTCGCCACAGTCCACTCCTCTGCCTACGAGCCACTCGCTCTCAGCTCCACCTTTGGACGAGTCAGTAGAGCCGAGTGGTCCGTATCCAGAGCTTGTGGGCTGCCTCATGTTCCTGATGACGTGTACTCGACCTGACCTCGCGTACCCTCTCAGCATCCTGGCGCGCTACGTTGCGCCTGAGAGACACCGCCATGAGCACTACCGGGCTGCTATGAGGGTACTGCGTTACTTGTGCAGTACATCAGGCATGAGACTTGTGCTTGGAGGACGAGGTCGAGTTGTGCTCACTGAGCACTCAGACGCTTCTTGGGCCGACGACCAGGCGACTTAGCGGTCGTCACAAGGTTACACTTTCAGTCTCGGCGCTGGTTTTGTCTCCTGGAGGTCCACCGCTCGTCTTGTATGCTTAGTTCCAGCTTTGAGCCGAGATCTACGACGGGTCTATGGCTGCACAGGAGTACGCTGTCTGACCTACTTACTGACTGACTTGGGTGAGCGGCCTCGTTCTCCTCCGGTTATGTACGTCGACAACAAGGCCATGATTGCCTTGTGTCACGAGCAGAGACTGGAGCACAGAACGAAGCACATTGCTCTTCGTTATTTTCTCGCACGAGAGCTACAGCAGCGTGGTCAGCTTCGCCTTGCTTACATGGCCTCAGACGCCAATACTACTGATGTCTTCACTAAGGCCCTAGGGTCTGGTGATCATCAGCGATTCTGCACTGCTCTTGGGCTTGTGACCACTATGCCTCACTTGTTTGTTTCCTGACTCTGTCTTGTACTGTGATATATATATGTATATATACTTGCATGTTTCCTCTTGCTAGGTTGTGATCACTGGACTTGTGGTCGCTTGCTTGTGCTTGGACTGTGTGGTGATCTTGAGATCCACCCTGGCCTTTGTTTTGTTTCTTCTCTTGATTGGTCTTGTGACCATTTGTTGTGCTTGCTATCCCTCACTTTGCCTATGGGGGTGTGTCAAAATATATATTTGTTAGGTTGTAGGTTACAGTGAGGTGCACTTTAGAGGGTTCAACCCAATTGGGGTTTACTACTTGTATCCATGGCTCAAATTATCAGGGTAAAATACAATTTTTGCCCTGATGAGCGGCCACTTTTTTCCCAGTTACCCTTGCAGAATCAGTGTATCAAAAAAATTACCCTAGAGCAAAATGGCAAACATAAATTTCACCCTGATTCGGATTACGTCACCCTGCTGTACCACGGTGCTATGCGCTTACACTGAAACCAAATCAACTCGAATTGCGCTTGTATAACTTAGGGTACATTCCGCTCTGGACATGTCCCAAAAGAAAGTGTCCCAATCGATTCTACCGCACTGCATCTTATTACACCGAATTACACCCTAGTGTCAAACATTGTCAAAATTTTCGCGTCTCTGGTTTAGTTCGGTTCGGAGCGGTACACCCGATTGGGACATGTACTTTTGGGACATGTCCAGAGCGGAATGTACCCTTACTACCGTTCCCAATATTCGAATCTGTGACCTTACCATTCGGAGGGTGACAGCTAACCAGCTGAGCTGCCTCCCAATGACAACAAGTTACTTAGCGTTTTATATAATGTAGACAGTGTAAGATACAAATTACCCTGCCACAAACAGACTAGAACAATTTTTACCCTGTTTTTTTACCCTACCAGTCAGTGTAAGGCCTGACTGGAACCCTGATTTCCCAGGGTGGCCAAAAACCAATTTTGGGCCCTGCTTGAATCTCATTTTTCCTAGTCCAACTCATTTCTGCTGTCCTAGTTTCAACATCCGCGTGATTACGGTAATATGTATATTGGAAAAAAATGCTATTACACTTCGATAAGGTCGAATAACACTTCGACGCTGTAAGGTCGAATGCAGTGTGTTCACGGAAAGGGGGGGCTGGCCTGATGCAACATACACTGTCTACATGCTTCAACTGCTGCTTCGGATGCTACCTGATTGCTCCCCAGTGGACTCTTCCTCCATGCTCTTAATAGCTTCCAACATTGCAGCCAAGTTATTTGGAAATGACGTCCCGCTTCGCATCCCCTCTGCTTGTTCATCCACTTTGACCGCGGCACTCAGCACCTCCTTCCCCACCACCTCATGCCTGATGCCCTGCAGCTCGTTGGCAATGGTGGCCATGTTGGGCCGGCTTGCAGTGCGCTGCACAGTGCAGCGCAGGGCCAGCTGGGCCAGGCGCAGCACAGCATCATCCAGGGCGTCCATGCTTTCGTCCTTGAGGAGGGCCGGGTTGTTGGAGGAAACGCAATCCTCCACCTGACGGGTTGAACAAGGGGGTCGGGTCAGAAACAGGGAATGGAGCAGCACAGCATCATCAGGGCGTCCATGCTGAGATCCGGGCAGATAGAGTTGGGCAATAAGAGGTCACACACGTGCATAGTTGGTCCGAAGATGTTGTTGTATGGCAGGAGGGTAGCTGAGGCATGCCTACACCTTAAGGATCGATCAAGGTGGGTGGGGATGAGGACAGTGAGGCGCAGCTGTACCAACGTGTCATTGTGCCACTATGCCTTCCTGCCTTGATGCCATCTTGCCATGATGCCATCCTGCCATCATGTTATCGTGTCTCCAACTTGTTTGCCGAAAGCAGTCACTCCTGTGTTTTGCGAGGAATATTTGAGTATTTTATGCAACAACCCTATTGTTGCATACTCGGCACCAAGCAAAAACACCTACCTGTTACAGGTGATGGTCGTGCAGGCTAACGGCAAAAACAACTTGAGAGTCACTATGTGTGCCGCACATGAAGCAGGAGTGCTCAGAATGTGGCTGTTCGTGCCACCAACATCGGCAGAGAGCTGCTTGAACCAACCGCAGTGGCACAGTGCTTTGAGTTTGCCACAGTGGCAACTCACATGTAAGCAACACAACATGCCCCACTGCACACGAACCAGCAGAAACCTACCCATCGCAGAATGTGGCCGTTCTTTTCACCCTCGGCCGAACGGGGACTGCGACCGGTGATCACCACGAGCATCAGCACACCGAAGCTGCACACAAAGAGAAGGGGACGGGGGTGAGAAGCAGCACACGGGGGTGCCGAATTGTGTGAGTGATTCACCAACGACAAACCAAAGCAAGCACTCAGCAAGCACTCAGTGAGCATGAACAGACTGGCAAGCGTTGACCTATTATTTGCAGAGAATAGCTGCCGCACAAAGAGAGCGCTGTTTATTACTTGAAAATCTCTTCAGCTGCTCATACTCCTATTTCCCCTGATGGCAGCAGTAGATCACCTGTTCAGATCGGTGGAAGTGGTGGCCTTTCACCTGTACACATCGGTGGCAGTGGTGGCCTTGGACGTGCGTGAGTAGATGGGATCCACATAGCCCGGTGTTCCCATCACCCGAGTCGTGCCCACAGTGGTGCCCTCGCCCACCCTCAACAGCCCAAAGTCTGCAATCTTGGCCTGCCACACAATATAGTAAGGAAACTAGGACAATCGTGCTAGAGAAGGAATTGGACAAGGACTTATTTTTTCTTCTTCTATTGAGCTGTGTCGAGCTGTGTTTTACGCCGAGCTGTTCGTGCTGTAATGAACTTAATGACATCGTTCACATGAAAATTCGATAATGTAACAGGGTGCATTGAAGTTGCTAAAATATTATCGATTCGAAAGGGTTAAATAGAGAGGCTTAAGGGTTGTGGCTGTGTTTGCACAGAATCACCACGCCCTTTACCGAATCTTGCTCTTTACAGATCCTCCTACCCACTTCCGCATTTTGCTAAGAATGTCCATGAATTCCCCAAAATTAAGTATAGCATCAATAATAGATTCACTTCCCAGTGCACTCAACCAAGACACTTCTTTATGTGCACAGTATAAAATGCTTGCAGAGTGCTTTCTTGCCTGCATGCTTTCCCCGAGAAGGATGTTGGCGGGTTTGATGTCGCGATGCACAAGGCCAAAGCTGTGGAGGTACTCAAAGCCACGTGCCGCACCAATGAGGATGTCCAGCCGCTGCTGGAAGGTGAGAGTGAAGGACGCCTCTGCACACATCAACAGAACGTGAGGGAGGAAACAAGAGGGATGCAACATCAAAGATGCAACATCAAAGATGCAACATCGATCATAGAGCGTGAGTCACACAGCACGAGTGACAAAATATGTGTGGCACACTGACTGACACAACATATGCCTTACACTTACAGATGTAAAACAAAAAAAGGTTTCCAGATGACGACGTGGAACGCACCCTTCTTAATAAACTGGTCAAGATCACCGTTGGTAGCAAACTCGTAGATCAGAATTTGCTCTGGTCGTGTCCTCATGTCCCCTCCAATAGCAAACCCAAGCAGCCGCACGATGTTGGGATGGTTCTTGTCGGCCATTTGTTGAACCTGCGAAGAATAAGGCAGGAATGGACAGGAATGGGAAGTACGCATGAGCAGGGTACCAAACCGAACTGGTTCGTGAACGAACGAGTTTTGCACGGAACCGGTTGAAGGTTCAATGAATTAGCTAACGAACCGAACCGGTTCGGCCGAACCGGCCCGGTTCAGTACCTAACCTAAGCAGTTCGTTTTTTCAGTGAACTTTCAATTTGGTCCTACCAGCTGAAACCAAAAAAAGAAACATAGGAAACACACTAATGTTACGTGGAAGGGGCATTTTGTGAGAATATGACATGAAGCTCGCAATGAGCTCCTACGCTTTGTTTTCGAGTTATATTCTAAATTGCACGCCCGACAACCGGTTCGTTTCGGGGAGAACCAGACTGAAGTGCACCGGTCCTAATCACGGTTTGGTTCCCTGCTCATGCATAATCGGCAGGAATGGACAGGTGCACATGTGAATGGGGTGGATGAAATGAGAAGAAGCATCAACAAAGTGGCTTTTACAAGGCACGCTGGAATGGAAAGCATCCCACATCAGAATGACTTGGAATGGATGCCATGGCGGAACGCATTGAGAAGCGTAACCAATGTGCATCAGTTCCTCAATTCATAACAGCTCACTTTGCAGCCAAGTGGAATGAAAAGGGCAAACCTTACAAACATCATCAATCCATCATAACAACCCACTTCTATGAAATTCCATATCAAATAGTCAGGCCCTCCTCTAAACAATTCTCGAAAGTGACCAGAAGGTGAGACAGCCCTACCTCTTTGTGAAATTCCACATCGATCAGTTTGGCTCGCTTGACAGCCCACAGAGTGGTGCCATCATCCGGACACACGCCCTTGTACACGTCACCAAAGGCACCCGAGCCAAGCTGGTTGTCAGAGGACCAGTTGCTGGTGGCTTTGAGGACCTCCTCTAGAGAGTACTCCATGCATTGAGCACCCGACATGCTTCGGGCTCGGCCTGTAATGAAGTGGAAGGAAGGGGTGAGGAGTGGTTGTGAGGGGTGCAAAGCACCCGAGCCAGGCTGGTTCTCAGAGTTCCAGTTGCTGGTGGCTTTTGAGACTTCCTCCAGGGAGTACTCAGTGCATTGAGCACCGGACATGCTTCGGGCCCGGCCTGTGATAGTGAGGGAAAGCACAAGGGTTGAGGTTGACTTAATGTGGATGAGTGTGCAGTACTTGGTGCAGGACCTCGTCAAGAGAGTACTCCGTGCATTGAGCACCGGACATGCTGCGAGCCCGGCCTGTGATAGTGTGGGGTGAAAAGAGGGTGACGACGGGTGGTAGCGTGGGGTGAAAAGGGTGGGTGCGAGGGTTCATAGTGTGAGGTGAAAGTGAGTGCGTGGGGTGAAAAGAGTGAGTGTGAGGGGTGATACCGTGATAGTGTGGGGTTAGATGAAGGGAAGCAGAGGCCAGGTGAAAGTTCGACCATGCCAACCAACCGTTCCATTGTGCCATACCAGTACCCAATCGTTGTCAGTACTCTAGTATCTGAGGGAAGGGTAGATAGAAGGAAGGGGACCTAAACGTGTCCCTAAACTTTGCCTCGTTTGCCTGATGAATGCTCAGAAGAGAAAAGGTCAAAAGGAGGAACAATGGAGGATGAAGATTTTTTGAGACGTCTCAAAATCCAAGGGGCAGGAGGAGGGAACACATCAGGGGCGTCTCAAGAAGAAACGTTTTTTCTAGACTTGCGGGTCTCTCCTATTGAACCCGGGTTATCTTGGGTTTCAAGTCAAGGAGTTAAGCTTTAGGGTTTAAATGGATTATGGATTGACAGGACGCCATACTTGCTGCACGTGCTGCTCGCTTCTTGTGACCACTCCACCACCACAGCAGCACGCCAATGATCAGCAGCATCACAGCAGCCACAGCAATGCCGGCAATGGCTCCCACAGAGAGACCGCCTCCAGACTGGGAGGGAGGCGCTTCAGGCGAGAGAGGGGGGCTTGAAGAGGAGGAGGCTGGGGTCGGTGTGGGGGGAGATGGAGTCAAGGAGGGGGCGGCTGGAGGTGGGGAGGGTGGGCCTGTAGTGTGTGAGGGTTAGATAGGGATGAGGCAGAAAGGGATGGAGAGACGGCGACAGGATGGGTTTTGAAAGGAAAGTGTGACAGATAGCAAAAAAGAGAGGATGCGATGGATGAAATGGACATCACAGCAGAGATGTGGCACTGATAGAAGGCCATGTAGGTGGCACGTGCATTTGGCCATGCAGTGCCATGCTGGCTGGTTGCATTGGGAGGCGTGTGGGCAGGGTAACAGCAAAAGTGTATTACTACATGAAAGTTGATGCTCTCCATTTATTTTTATAGCTCACGTGGTGCTGTCTTGTTGCAGGTGGAGCAGAAGGAGGGGCACTTCCTGCATAAGGCGCTCTGAGAGAATTGCTGAACCACACACGGACTCTTGTTAGGTGGGCACGTGAGTGCAGTTAAAGACAGATTCCTGGACGGGCAGAAGAAAGAAGCAGAGTAAATAAAGCAGAGAAAATCAAGGTGCTAGCGAAAAGGTTGGTGCTTGCTGGGTATTAGACACAAACACCAGCAAAGCTCCATGCACGTGGGTGCTCCCTAGAAGATCGAGAAGATGGGCTTGTATGCTTGGCGTGCAGCACTTTAGGCTAACAAGAACAAGCAGTTTATTATTCTAATTCATAGTTACTGGAAAAAAAAAAAAAAAAAAAAAAAAAAAAAAAAAAAAAACAGGATATTTACAATTCACCAAGTTTGGAGAGTTTGCCCAGAGTTGGAGGGAGTTGTCCTGAGAGATTGGTTCCTTTAATTTCCCTGCATGTGGAGCATTGTTGATTGCATATAAAAACAGGTTGCAAAACGCATGGTTGGGTACGTTTGTCACAAAATACAGAAACCCGTATGCGGAACTTCGTTGTCCTGAATAAAGTGGTCGATTGTTTCGTGTATGTTTTTAGGCAAATCAACATAATAGGGAGGATAACGTTTGAGTCAACTAAAAAAATCTTTTTATCAGTTAACCCTGAAGCCAGATGGAGGAAAGTGGTGAATAAGTTCCTCATTTCCAATCTGATTGAGGCCCAAGCCCGGCATAGGGCTGACTTTTAAGTGGCGACTTGTGAGTCGACTCAAAAGTCACAATCTTGTTGAATTCCAAGGCTGGCATGAGCAACGGTTCGACCCAACCCGTCCGGCTGGGGTTGACCCAAAGGTAGGGCTGGTCGGATCAGGTCCGGTCAGGTCGGGTCGGGTTGGTTGGGTCGGGTACTGCTCTAAGAGTCAAAGGGTGTGCTTTCAGCTCAAGAGAACACGGGTGTGCTTACAAGGTTGTGAGCTGCAGGAGGTTGCCAATGGACTCTGGGATGCTGCCAGTCAGGTTGTTCCAAGAAAGGGACCTGGTGCAGGCACGACAGTAGCAGGGAAGAAACTCCCAGAAAGATAAACAGGGTTTGTGACCATGTTGCACAAGAAACAAGACAGGTAATAAATGTGTTGCATCAACCTTTACAATAATGAGAAATGAAATCACTGTATTTTGAATCATGTGAATCTAAAAGTTATGAAGTGAACAGTAAAACAAAGGCATGTGTGTCGATGACACCGTGTCATTACAGATAATATTCAGAGGCTTACGAAGAAAATGGCTCACTGTTCATCTAATGATAGAACTTACAAGTCAGTCAAATAAATAAGGTTGCCTATCACTGTGGGTATCGATCCTGTCATTTTGTTTCCCCACAGAAATCTGCAATTTGTACCCCGGGGATGTCAAGGAACAACGCTGAGAACAGAGGGTGCTTAGCATCTATCTGATCTGAAACAACTTCAGTTCTATCTTATCAAGTAGGTCGTGGTAAATTTTGCTCCCAGGCCTGCATACATCATTGGTATTATAAAAAGGATGTCTACTGGAAAGTGTTGTTTTGGATAAAAGACAGGTACGCAAGGGCGAGTAGCAAAACGTGACGTACATGACATTTCGTGGATCGGCGCGAGTTGCAGAGTCACTTTGCAATGCGTGCAACAAATGCTGGACCTAGGTTTACAAATTCCAGGCTCGTCAGCTTGAACCATTATTTGGGCTTGCGAATCGTCTCTCGCACTGATTCAACCCCCGGTTGCACACGATGCATTGCTAAGAGTCAAATTAAGGACCACTACAGCCACAGTTGCAAGTCAAAATCAGGCGATGACAGGATGTCATGCATAATGTGTGTGTGTGTGTGTGTGTGTGTGCGTGGGTGCGTGCGTGCGTGCGTGCGTGCGTGCGTGCGTGTGTGTGTGTGTGTGTGTGTTGTGTGTTTTTTTTTTTTTTTTTTTTGGCGCCTTTGTTCCAGGCCATTTTTTCCGTTTAACAGGAGCATTGGTCCTGGCTCACACGTCAAAACAACAAGGGACGCACTCACAAGGCGTTCAGATTCGTGAGCTTGCCAATGGAGTCAGGAATGGGGCCTGTCAAGAAGTTATAGCCAAGGTTCCTGCCATTGGATTGGAGGGATGATAAATGGAAGCATGACAGAAGGCACACGCACAACTGATGACAGAAAATGTATCGCTGGCATTAGGTTACACAATATGAAAGGAGCCGGCGAGCCGCACTTCCTTTGTCAGCTCAGCATTGCTGAGATCTGATTTCTGCATCTTTAGCTTAGCTAGTTCAACGTATTTGTATGGAAAACACTTAAGACCTCCTTGCCACTTTTCCTTGTTACCCGTCGCATTGAGGTGATATTTTAGGCGCCTAAAAAATCACCATCAAAGAGCAGCAAAGCATCTCTTGCCACCTTAGCAGCACCTTGCCACTTTTTCCTTGTTTTCCGTCTCTGGCAGAACCACCACTGGCACTCTCACGTCTCTACCAACGGAGCTCTCAAACCTAAGATCCTCACCCGTCACTGCTGCTATCCCTCCCGTATCCACCTCCCTCAGTCACACGCCCCTATCCCCCCTACCCCCCTTCGCCCCTGACCACCGGTGCATTTCCATTCCGTGACCGAACGACTTACAGCTGAACATGAGCTAAAGGAGACTTTTGAGTCGACTCAAAAGTTACCCCGCTATCCCCCCTACCCCCCCCGCCCTTCGCCCCTGACCACTGGTGCATTTCCATAACCGAACTACTTACAACTGAACATGGGCTGAAGGGGAGTCAATCTCACTCGACACGTATTGGCGAGCCGGGTCGGGTTCTTTCTGTAATCGAGCCGCAAGCCCCTGTCGAATTGAGCCGTGATCGTTTGTACTCGGGCCCAACTCATGACTCGAGATGAGTAAAAAAAAAACATAGGTCAAACTTTTTTATACCCAGCGTGTTTCGAGTGGGCTGGCTCGGCCCTTGCTAACAAAGTGGTGAAGTCACAAGAAAAGCAAGCAACAAACAAGTGTCCAGGCTTCACGTGATCCCGAGTAGTTGATTTAAATAAAGTTTGTGGGTCGGTGGGTGGAGCCAATGGGTGGGATGGGACCTATACAAGAGTCATCTGGCCCGTCTTATTGAGAGGCTCACTCACACGGCCATCAGTGCTTCAAGGTTGCCTATTCTAGTAGAGATCGAGCCAGTGAGGTAGTTGTCCAAAAGATTGCTGCATTTCGTGGAAGAAATGTGTAAAAAAGGGATAAGATGCCAGATTAGAGTAGCGAGCATTAACATGAAAATGGAACGTACGGATGAATGATTTGCATTTTGTCCAAACGGGACATCTCTCGAAAATCGTATTTACGCTTACGTATAATACGCAAGCGTATTATACGAAAAAACACATATCTGCCAACGCAGATGCAGCATGTGTACGTGGAAAGCAGCGCAAGGAGGAAAATGGTTCAGCAAAATGCACACTCTGTTACCATGCTTGCGCATGAACAGCTTGTTCGTCAGCACAACACTAGTGCCCACTCACTTTACTCAACTGAATGAATGAAAAAGAATACAAAGACGGACTCATGCTCGTTACTTCCACACCCAGTTCTGCATTAGCCTTCAAAGAGCACAAACCCCTTGGCACTGGAAATCCAAATAGTGCAGGGAGGTTCATGTGAAAGCAAAGTCTGTGGTTGCTGAAATACACGAGTGCGGTGGGTTCAGCTACGGCTGACCTGGGAAGCCAGTAAGAACTGCAGTGCACTCACAACATGTTCAGATTTGTGAGAGTGTAGAGCGACTCAGGAATTGTGCCGGTCAATTTGTTGAACTGCAGGAGTCTTCGGGAGTACAGATGGAAGGCATGCATATGGCAAGCTCAAAGACCATACTTAATGCTTATGTAGGGCGGTGGTGTGCATAGCTGTGTGTGTGTAAGGTACGAGAATATGTCAATGGACAATCACTCACTCACACCTGGCTGGAATGACATTGCAAAGATATGAATACGCAGTGGAACATAGGCGTTTGGAAAGAAAACGTACGTAAGAACAAGACAGCGGCTCAAAACATTTTCAATCTTATGGAAGCTAAAGCATCTCACAACAATTTAAGCATCTCACAACAAGTCAAGCATCTCACAACAAGTCAAGCATATCACAACAAGTCAAGCGACTCACAACAAGTCAAGTCAAGCATATCACAACAAGTCAAGCATCTCACAACAAGTCAAGCATCTCACAACAATTCAAGCATCTCACAACAAGTCAAGCATCTCACAACAAGTCAAGCATATCACAACAAGTCAAGCGACTCACAACAAGTCAAGTCAAGCATATCACAACAAGTCAAGCATCTCACAACAAGTCAAGCATCTCACAACAATTCAAGCATCTCACAACAAGTCAAGCATCTCACAACAAGTCAAGCATATCACAACAAGTCAAGCGACTCACAACAAGTCAAGTCAAGCATATCACAACAAGTCAAGCATCTCACAACAAGTCAAGCATCTCACAACAAGTCAAGCATCTCACAACAAGTCAAGCATCTCACAACAAGTCAAGCATCTCACAACAAGTCAAGCATCTCACAACAAGTCAAGCATCTCACAACAAATCAGGCGACTCACAACAAGTCAAGTCAAGCATATCACAACAAATCAAGCATCTCACAACAAGTCAAGCATCTCACAGATCTCCGAGGTCTGTAAGGTTGGCTAGAGAGGCGGGTATCGTGCCATTCAGATCATTCTCATGTAGGTATCTGCTTTTCATGGGAGTGTGGATGCAAAGAGCAGAGTAGAATAGAAACCAAAGCTGACTTTATGATAGGCCATAGTGCAAGCATATGAACAGGCATAATCGTTGTTGTTGACTCAGGGTCTTGATCATGTAGAGTGGCAGATGCCAAGCACTCAAAAGAATCGCAAGCTGGAGGGGACTGACAACAACAACAAGGGTGTCGAGAATAAGCATGTGGTGCGCATGTGATGTGGGTTGGTCACATGGCATGTGGTGCGCATGTGATGTGGGTTGGTCACATGGCATGTGGTGCGCATGTGAAGTGGGTGGGACACAACACACGGCATATGGTGCACTGCACGTGCGACGTGGGTGGGTCACACGGCATGTGGTGCGCATGTGAAGTAAGTGGGACACAACACACGGCATGTGGTGCGCATGTGAAGTAAGTGGGACACAACACACGGCATGTGGTGCGCATGTGATGTGGGTGGGTCACACGGCATGTGGTGCATTCCATATTTCAATTCACGACACGTAGCAGCACTCACATGTGAGCAAGACTTGGGAGGTTGCCAAGAAAGTCAGGAATGGTGCCTGTCATGCTGTTGTAGCCAAGGTTACTGATGGGACCGAGAGACACAAGGCGTTCGTAGGGTATGCATAAGGCATGCATAAGGCAACAGTATGCACAAGGAGTTGAAAAGAATAACAGTGAGTTGTTCTCCCCGGCTGCTCATGGTCGCCCATGGTCGCTCATGGTCGCCCATGGTCGCTCATGGTCGCCCATGGTCGCTCATGGTCGCTCATGGATGGCCCTGGTCGCTCATCGTCAGCCAATATCGCTTCGTGAGCTTCATGGCCTCTTCATTCAGAAGCAGATGAACAAAATTGTGGTCGTGACAGCACAGATAGAGAGAAGCAAACGGATCCCACTGCATGCTATCGCATCAAATCACGCCACATCAGATCATCAGATCATGACATTGGATCAGATCATCATGTAACATCACATAACTTCACATCACATCTCATAAATTCGCATCACATGACATCGCACACCCCATCACATCCCATCCCATTACATCACATCACATCACAGGCTACAGTAACTTGGCTTGCTTCAATCCAACCCATACAACAGCACAGCATAGGGAAACATCAAACTCCAGTATGATGTGTGAGGGAGATAACATAAAAAAACATCTGATAACAAACAATAGAGTGAGCCTACAGTTTGTTGCAAAACTTTGGAGCTCATATAATCGAAAAACTCACAAGTAGGTCAAAGATATAAGGCTGGAGAACGTTGCTGGTATGGATCCATTCAGCTGGTTATTGAGCAATTGTATGCACCTCGGAAATACAGGGAGTAATGGGCAGACAGGGGTTTGTGAGTACGAGCATACATCCTCCACCATCTACACTATAGCAAGAGTAACAGGCGTGAGGAGGCACTGAGTTGGTGCCACATGCACAGACTACCAGACGATTGCTTGGTGCTCTATGCTGTACGATGGCACTAAGGCCATATACCATGCTTACCGAGCACATCACTCAGTGTATGCTGGGCTAAGGGCGTCTAGTGAACATTCAGATAGATAGAACAACGAGGATGGAAGACACAAAAAAAGTCTGAACAAACTAGTACTTGCATCATCTATAGTACATCATAGGAGTTCAAACGAACCGAAAATTCAGACTTTTGAGTCGACTCAAAAGTCTTACTTGCATCATCTATAGCACGTTGGAGTCAAGCCCATCAACAAGACCAGAGCCACTGCTGCCGTATGACAAGCATGCGTCTCACGTGTCAACGAAACGCCGAACAGCATTAACATATGATTAGAAACGAGGAACACGACTCGCACATGTTAACTGAATGACGAAAAACAGCACTAACAGACATTCAAGGCCAGTAGACAATAGATTTGTTTCCAGAACACATTTGTCTTTACGTGTTAACCGAACAAGGAACAGCACTAACAATCTGTCAAGGCTCTTCAGATTGCCGAGGGATGCAGGGAGGGGGCCACTTAAGCTGTTGTAAGCCAGTTGCCTGATAAGCAAATGAACACAGAGGGCATGCATGCAGAGAAAATGAACCGAGTATTACTCATGGGTCGACCCGACCTGACCCTCATTTTTCTCATGGGACATCAGCTCAGCTCAAGATCAGCTAGGCGGCATGAGTGGGATACAGGAAGGTAATAACAACCTAGAGAAGCCAGCGAGCCTTGAGACTGGAATCAGCCCTTCCATTCTGAGAAAAAAATCGCTTCCAGGTTTAAAAGATCAGTGAATTAGAGTGTTAGGATAGCAGAGAATGTGAGTGCGGATCACAATGTAAGCATCGTCCAATCCAACGAGTGTCTGTCTGGTGGAGAACCTCACACTTTGGACAGATTACGGAGGTTGCCTATGGTAGCTGGTATAGGGCCAGTCAGGCTAGTGTTCCATAGATATCTGCATTTGCAAAAGGAAGGAGGGTTGGAAGGAGAGGCGAGATTGACGGGACTGGCCACGTAACGAGCTTGTCAGCATTCAACGGCGAGACCTGGAACGAAACGACATTGCTCACATGCTCGAACGGGTAACATGCCCACCCAAGGAGGAGCAGACAAAACCAGGCACACCCCAGGTGACAGGTCCCGGGTCCAGAAGGCACAGCACAGCACTCACACAAGGTGTCAGTGGCTCACTCACATGCCCACCCAAGGAGGAACAGAGCAGCTCTCACAAGTTGGTAAGGCTTTGGAGATTGCTGATGGAGGCTGGGATTGAGCCGTTTAGGTTCTCGTCAACGATACTTCTGATGGGCGGACATTGGCACGGGGGAGAGGTCACTTGCATTAGCAATGGGGGGGGAAGACATGCTGTAAGGGACTTTGGAGATTGCTGATGGAGGCCGGGATAGAGCCGTTTAGGTTCTCGTCAACGATAGTTCTGATGGGCCGACATTGGATGGGCGGACATTGGATTGCAGGAAAGGCCAGTTGCATTAGTAATGGGGGGGGAATATGCTCCATATGCATAGCATGCATGTGCCATTGATGTATGCATGTGGCATGCACGCATGTATGTGGCATGCATGATGCCACGCCATGCAACCAATTGTGTGAGACATGCATGATGCCATGCAACCAATTGTGTGAGACATGCATGATGCCATGCAACCAATTGTGTGAGACATGCATGATGCCATGCAACCAATTGTGTGAGACATGCATGATGCCATGCAACCAATTGTGTGAGACATGCATGATGCCATGCAACCAATTGTGTGAGACATGCATGATGCCATGCAACCAATTGTGTGAGACATGCATGATGCCATGCAACCAATTGTGTGAGACATGCATGATGCCATGCAACCAATTGTGTGAGACATGCATGATGCCATGCAACCAATGTCACCTAGGCGGAGTAGAGGCAAGACAAGGAGGAGTCATGCACCGCCCCTGTATGTTCCGTGCTTCAGGGCCCATGTGATCGACCCCCATGGGTCACTCACTTTTGAGTCGACTCAAATGTCCTCTAGACGGAGTAGAGGCAAGGCAATACAAGGAGGAGTCATGCACTGTCCGTGTATTTTCCACGCTTCAGGTCAGGGTCCATGTGATTTGCTCCCATGGCTCACTCACTCACAAAGGTCCGCTCACATCTGAAGCATGAGGGTTTCCTTACATCGGAAGCATCAAGGACCATCGGGGGCCATGAGTGTCCATGGGGGTGCATGAGGGTCCATGGGGGTGCATGAGGGTCCATGGGCATGCATGAGGGTGAATAGGTTTGCATGGGGTTGTTTGGGGGTGCTTGGGGGTGCATGGGATGCATGGGATGCATGGGGTGAATGGGGGTGCATGGGGCGCATGGTGGTGCATGGGGCATGGGGTGCATGGGGCGCATGGGGGTGCATGGGGCATGGGGTGCATGGGGCGCATGGGGGTGCATGGGGCATGGGGTGCATGGGGCATGGGGTGCATGGGGCATGGGGTGCATGGGGCATGGGGTGCATGGGGCGCATGGGGGTGCATGGGGCATGGGGTGCATGGGGCATGGGGTGCATGGGGCATGGGGTGCATGGGGCATGGGGTGCATGGGGCATGGGGTGCATGGGGCGCATGGGGGTGCATGGGGGCGCATGGGGCTGCATGGGGTTGGTCTACTCACATATCAGTTATCATGCCCTGGGAATCGCATGTGACGCTGCTTGCTTGCTCACAGTCCCCACCAACCACCCAGCCATCAAACGTTGTGCTCCACGCCTTCTGACAGTCCAGCAGGACTTGCGCTGGCGGCAGGAAGAGGGATGGGGGGGAGTGGAAGAGAGGAGAGAAGGGCAGCCATTGGAAGAGAGGAGGGCAGAAAGTGGAAGAGAGAGGACTCAAATGGTGGTCTAAACACTTCTCGTATTGCATGCCCCCCATTTCACATCTCATCAGTCTCCCTTCTCTCATCACACGCCCTCCTCTCATCGTATGCCTTCCACACCTCTCATCGCGTTCCCTCCCTCCCACCTCATCACATTCCCCCGCCTCATCACTTGCTCTTCCACTTCCACCCAGTGTACGGGAAGGGCGATAGAAGAAGGAGGAGGGCACAGGGTCAGTGAATACGGAATGTAGCGCCTGCTGGCTAGTTGAAGGGCATCCGCTGCGCCTCAATAACACCCTCATATTGACCCAGTGGGTAGCGATGCGTACCAGATCCTGGGTTCGATTCTCGGCTGGTCCACATTTTCCGCACATAGCGAGAACTGGAATGTGGTTACCGACTCGAACCCAGCAAACGGTCCTCCGCTGGCATGACCCACCAGCGGAGTCGCTATCACCTTCCCCAGCGATATCGTCTAGGTTCCTGCGGGGCCAAATCCCTGAATTTCTATAACTGATTCATGGTGAAATACACGGTGATGTATCACGTTGGGATGTCACCTCATGGTGACGTGACGGCAATGTGAGGATGTCACCCCACGGTGACGCGGCCCGAGGATTCTCTACTACTCTCGGATTGACTACAGCGACATAGCACTTGCGACGTAGCGGCATTTGCGGCTCGTTTCATGACCAATGACGCCATGACGCCAATGAGGTAGGACGTCACCCTCGCCGGGGCCCCCGGCGACGTCACCCTCAGCACCGGGTGCTGCGCGGCGGATCGCGCAGTGAAAGGCAAAAAGCAAGATGTGTTTGTGACGATGCCGCGAGAAGCAGTTTCTATTAGAGGTTTTTTCAGCACGCGCCGCGATACTCCTCAATGTTTCATTGACTCTGATATTGTCGGATCGTGATGATATGTGTTATGGCATCGCGGGGCGGCACGCACCCTGTGACTTGACGAGGGGCACGCATTCGACGCGTGAGACCGCGTGACACGTCAGCAGCAACAGCGCGCCGAGCAGAAGGGCTGCTGCGGGTTTCATCACGCCGCGACGGTCGCGGCAAGCCGCAGGTCCCTGGTAGTTCTAATATCAACTAATTTCGACTCGCGTCTTAAAAAAAAACGAAATGATCTGGGGAGGGAAAAACGTGCCGAAAATGGTGTTTGGTAATTGGATGTTTATGGCGAGCAAAAGGCGGGCATGAAAGTGTGGAATTTGGAAGTGGGGTGTCATTTCAAATATTTCAAGATGAACGCCGAATGTGAAGGTGGCTTCTGGAAGAAGAGTGTCACCAAAAAAGGAGTGGTTCGATACGAAGTGACTCTGGGAGAGACTTGCGTTTGCAGTTGACAGGATGTGTGTTGAGGGAAGGAAATGGATGAAAGTGATGTCCCACAGCTACAGTCGATGCCCAGCCTTCGCTCGCCAACTTTTCTTTATCAAATGAACTGAACCGAACTTTGCTTGTCGCCTGCCTGGCGACGGTCGCCACGGGAAAATTTGGGACTGTAAGTTGCCAGAGGTAACTGTGTTGCCCTTAAAATTTTTACGAGGGGGCCGCTGACAGAATGATAATGTCTTTGATCGGCTGTAACTTGGGCTCCGCTGCCCATACAGAGTGGCAAAATGGACAGGCAAACCAAATCGAAGAGTACATTTCTGCGATAGGTTGGGCAATAATTGTAGCACTAAACCGAACCCACGGGGGGGAGGAGCACCGCCCCCAGAAAATGGCCTGCGGGAGAGGGGGCAGAGCAGACAGGCAGGCAGGCACCTGACGGGATTCCGGTTCACATGCGCAACCAATGAGAGTTGATGGCAGTCGAAGCAGTCAAGGAGTGAAGGCGGAGCATTGAACGTGTGGGATTGGGTGGGCTGGGGAATGATGTGCTGCCCATATCAAACTGACTGACAGCTGTAATCTCTTGTCTTATAGCGTTCCCGGCAGCAGTGACGCATACTGTGCAACGTCAAACCTGCAATAGCAGTACACTACTTCTTGGGATGATCATAGTGAGATCTAATAATTTCACTGACAATCACAATAAAAAATGAGTGTCACATCACTTCACCCAAACTGCATTTCCCGAAACGCCACATCGCTGTCATCCACGCCCTGCCCCAGCTTGGCGCGCTTCTTCTGCCGCACGCCGCCCGCCCCGCCGTCCAGAAACTGGGCGGCAGTTTTGGCACGTAGCTCGTCGAGCCCCTCGCCCTCCTTGGCCCGTTCAAGCACGAGGTGGCGGCCGTACAGGTGAGTGCTCTTGAGCGCATCAAAGGCACTCTCTGCTTCCCTCTTCGTTGCAAACTCCACAAACGCAAACCCCCGGTGCCCTCCGTCAAACTTGCGGGGTAGCCGCATGCTCTTGAGCTGGTGGGGCAGAGAGGGAGAAGGGGAGAGGTGAAGCAACAGGGAGAATAAGAGGCAAGGCTCTGAGAGCGGTTGATGTGGTCCATTCAGGTGAGCCCCTCGCCCTCCTTGGCCCGTTCAAGCACGAGGTGGCGGCCGTACAGGTGGGTGCTCTTGAGCGCATCAAAGGCACTCTCTGCTTCCCTCTTCGTTGCAAACTCCACAAACGCAAACCCCCGGTGCCCTCCGTCAAACTTGCGGGGTAGCCGCATGCTCTTGAGCTGGTGGGGAAGAGAGGGAGAAGGGGAGAGGTGAAGCAACAGGGAGAATAAAAGGCAAGGCTCTGAGAGCGGTTGATGTGGTCCATTCAGGTGAGCCCCTCGCCCTCCTCCTTGGCCCGTTCAAGCACGAGGTGGCGGCCGTACAGGTGGGTGCTCTTGAGCGCATCAAAGGCACTCTCTGCTTCCCTCTTTGTTGCAAACTCCACAAACGCAAACCCCCTGTGGCCCCCGTCAAACTTGCGCGGCAGCCGCATGCTCTTGAGCTGAGGGTTGGATGGGGTAGGAAGGGAGGGGGTAAGCGCGGCCGACAGTTGTCTGGCAGCAATACTAAAGGTGCCTCCCTCTAGAGGCAAACCCCCCTGTGGACCCCATCAAGTTTGCAGGCAGCCGCAAGTCTGATGTGAGAGTAATCATGTGAGAAGGTTACATGTGAAAAGGTTGCAAGTAAGAATAATGATGTGCGAAGGTTACATGAGAGAGTAATCAACTGCCAAGATACTTCACCAGCTGATTTAATCTATATTACCTGCCCAGAAATGATTTCATCAGCCCACAAAGCTCACCTGCCCAAAAGGTGCAAACAGCTGCTGAATGTCCCTCTTGGTGGCCTCAAATGGCTGGAGGAGAAAGGGAGATTGAGAGCAGGGATAGATGGGCGGGGGGAGGGTGAGATGGAAACGAGAAAGATAGAGAAGAAAGGTGCTGCTGAGTGTCTCTCTTGGTGGCCTTGAATGGCTGGGAAAGCGGCAAAGGAGAAGGATGAATGGAGGAAACAAAGGCAGGCAATTCAGTAATAGGGAAGGGATGGAAAACGCGCACTTGTTTTGTTCTTGCCTCTTTGACCCCATTGCACAGCATTCAGAACTCCCCAACTCACCACATTCTGCACCAGAACCTTTATTAACTCTCCTTCCTGCTTTTTTTTGTCCATGCCCTCTCTTCCCCGTCCCAGTAAAAGCATTGTGGTTTCTCCTTTGCACCTCTCCTCCTCTGCCCCTTTGATAGCTCAATATATATATATATATATATATATATATATATATATATATATATATATATATATATAAAGCCAGTATATTTCGCCCATTTCTTAGTGTCACCCTCAACTCACCACATTCCGCACGATCACTTTGGTCGAGCTCTCCTTCCCCTTGCCCCCTGCCCCTGCTGCCTCCCCCTTCCCCTCACCCTCCTTCGCCTCCCCTTTGCTCAGCTGCAGCAGCAACGCATGTCCATCCAGCACGGTGCCCTGGAGAGAGAGTTAAACACGTTTGGGGTAGAAAAATAAAAAGAATGAGAAGATAAGCAGAAAAGAGGTGTTTAGAATGTTGAAGGGAACAGCGGGGTGGCAGCAGTTTTTCTTGCCCCCCATCCCGCTTTCCCAATATTACTGGATGTGCATGCATATATGCATGCATGAAACAACACAAGCATGTAGAAACCATGTGCCGGGTATGCATGCATGCTTGCACAAGGATATGAGGACCTTGCATGTGTGGCGTGTGCCGGATATGTACGCCACACGCCTCACATGCATCATCTTGCATGTGAGCTGCCCAGCAAGCATGGAGCCAACCCACAAGAACCCTAACAAGAATGTACGAAATATGCACTGGATGTGCATGCATGCATGCATATGCGTGCACAAGGATATGAGGACCACACCATGCGACTCACCTGCAGCACCTTGCACGCTCGGTGTGCAGTGCAGCGAGAACGGATACAAATTCAAGGAATACCAACCCCATCGACAGCTGCTTGCGACAACACATGCATGTGACAAGTAGGGGCGTGGGGATAGCAGCATATGTACCACACTGAACCGCACTGCACGACTCACCTGCAGCAGCTTGCACGCTCGGTGTGCAGCAAGCACGGATCCAAACTCCACGAACCCGAACCCCATCGACAGCTGCTTGCCGTTCCGCACCCGCTTCTTGATCTGCCGAGGGTTCACACGCAGGGTGCGTGAGGGAGAAGCAGAAAAATCCGAGACCTCTCAGAAGCGTGCCGTTCCGCACTCGTTTCTTTATCTGACACAATTTGACCCGCAAGGCGCACAGCACACGGCTACATTTGGGGCGATTCAAATTCTGAAGGGGCTCAGAAGTTCTTTATCTGACACGGTCTAATTAACCCGCAAGGGCACATGGATGGTACCTGAAGAACCCGAGGAACAAGCGGACACCGGTCAAAACAGCACAGCACATGAAATCGCACAATGAACCCCAGCCCCCCTCTCCCCCCTCCCTTTCTCTCCCCCATTCCCACCCCTGCCTCGCTGCCAATCTCCCCTGCGTACTGCCAAGCCAATCCACATCTCAGACTCACCGTGACGTTGCGTAGTGCTGGGCCCTCCCCATCCGCCCCTGCGTGCTTGCTTCTGAGAAGCTTCTCCAGGTGCTCCTTCAGCTGCGCCTCTGTCGTGGCAAAGCTCAGATTCTTCACAAACACACTGTGGCTCGTGGGCTGGCATGGGATGCAGGGAGAGCAGTGGGGAGAGGGGGAAAGGGAGAAGAGGAAGGCGTTCAACAAGAGAAGGTCCGAGTTCGATCCAGGTGCTTCTTGAGCTGCGTCTCGGGTCTTCACCACAAAAAAAAAAAAAAAAAAAAAAAAAAACACACACACACACACACACACTCACACACACTGGCTCGTGGGCGGGGTTGCAGGGAAAGGAGACAGTGGGAAGAAGGAGAAAGGGAGCCGCAAAGAGGGTGGATTTGGTCGATGGAGGGGTGGTAGGTGGACAGTGGACTTGGGGCAAAGAATCTGTAACTAGACATTTAATATCAATGTCACTTGACACAAGAGGTCCCATGCTGCCATTCAAAGGCCAAGGTTGTGAGACGGACGCCCCCACACCCTGCCTGCACCCAAATCAAATCACACCCATCCCCAGTTGTTTGTTCCCTCAGATATCCCCCATCCTAGGCTCACATCCCATCCTCCCCCCCTTCTGAGAGCTCACCTGTCCTTCCTCTTCCCCTTCCACCGCATGCCCCTCGGCCCCCTCTCCTCCACCTTCTCTTCCCCCCGCCCCCCCCACCATCTCCGCCTCAGCTGCCATGCGCCTGGCCGCCTTCCCATCCATCACCACCGGCAGCAACCCCACTGCTCCCTGCTTCCTCACACCTCTTAACACCTTCCCCACCCTTTTCCCTTCCCTCTGTTCATCCCCTCAGCTATCTCCTTCCTGAACTCACCTGTCCATCTTCTTCCCCTTCCGCTGTATGTCCCTCGGCCCCCTCTCCTCCCCCTTCTCTCCCCCCCACTCCCCCCTCTCCCCCCACCATCTCCGCCTCAGCAGCCATGCGCCTGGCCGCCTTCCCATCCATCACCACTGGCAAAAGCCCCACTGCTCCCTGCTTCTTTATACTCTTCACTCCGCCTCCCTCCTTCCCTTCTCTTGCTCCTCCCTCTCCTGGCCCCCTACCCGCTTCCCTGGAAGCTGCTGCTGCAGCTGCTGCTGCTGTTGTGGTTGGCGCATCTGACGGTGCTGCGGGTTCTAGGAAGATTCCTTCTGGTGCCCATTCCAGGTACAGAGGAACATGCCTGGTAGGTTCACAATGAGAACAAGAGGGTCAAGGAGGTTCAAGGGTGTTCATAGCGGTACAGAGGTGAAGGAATGAAAGGGACACATGCCTCGTTGAAAATGGAAACATGGAGGATCAAGTGTTCTTAAAGAGGTAAAAGGGCCATGTTCAGAAGTACAGAGAAGCGCCAAGTTATGCTGATTCCTAATGGTTTACGCAACGGTCGTGCGTGCTAGCATCAACCACAGCGCATTGGTTAGCATTTACGCAAATGCTTACGCTGGGCAGGTTGAGAAACACACACCAATTTGAAGGGGTTCATGTTTTGAGACGTCTCAAAACACTTCTTCATACACGAGGTTGAGAAAAGCACCAATTTGAAGGGGTTGATTGGGAGCAAGACTCATAGACCTTACAAGCCACTCATTGGTATCTCTTATAAGCCACTCACTGGTATCTCTTATAAGCCACTCACTGGTATCTCTTATAAGCCACTCACTGGTATCTCTTATAAGCCACTCACTGGTATCTCTTATAAGCCACTCACTGGTATCTCTTATAAGCCACTCACTGGTATCTCTTATAAGCCACTCACTGGTATCTCTTATAAGCCACTCACTGGTATCTCTTATAAGCCACTCACTGGTATCTCTTATAAGCCACTCACTGGTATCTCTTATAAGCCAAGCCTTTGAAAGCCCTCTTGGCATCTGCAGAGTCCACCATTTCCACCTGACCATGGGAGTGAGGGACGGAAAGAGGGGGATTGGGCGGGGGAGGTATATGGGGGATGGATGAAGGGAGGGAAAGGTGGAAGGAGCAAGCCTTTGAAGGCCCTCTTGGCATCAGCAGAGTCCGCCATCTCCACCTGACCATGGGAGTGAGGAGCGGCGGGAAGGGGGATTGGGGTGGGAGGGGAGGTATTGGGGGATAGGTGAAGGGGGGGAAAGGTTGGGGGGACAGGCCTTTGAAGGCCCTCTTGGCATCAGCAGAGTCCGCCATTTCCACCTGACCATGGGAGCGAGGGAGAGAGGAGGGGGGGTATACGGGGGATGGGTGAAGGGGGAGAGGGGCGAAGGGAAGGGACAGGGTTAGAAGAAACAAGAGGGTTTGAAACAAGAGGGTAGAAGAAACAAGGGTTAAAGGCTCTCATCCCATCTCACGGCATCTGCAGAATCAACCATCTATTCTACCTGACCATGGTAGTAGTAGTGAGGGAGCGAGAGAGGGAGAGAGCGGAGGGGGAAGGGGAAATGGGGGAAGTGAAAGGGGGGAGGAACAAAGGGATGGGGGGTTGGAGCCGAAGGGACAGGAGTAGAAGAAACAAGGGTTTAAGGCTCTCTTGGCATCTGCAAAATCGGCCATCTATTCTACCAGACCATGGGAGTGAGGGAGGGAGAGGGAGGAGGGGGGGTTTGGGGAAGTGGGGGATGGTGGTAGGAGTCTGAGAGGAAACGAGCATGGCTGCTGGGGATACACGAGTTGACTTTCGAGTCAACTCAAAAGTCAACAGAGAGGAAACGAGCATGGCTGCTGGGGATACACGAGTTGACTTTCGAGTCGACTCAAAAGTCAACAGAGAGGAAACGAGCATGGCTGCTGGGGATATACGAGTTGACTTTCGAGTCGACTCAAAAGTCAACAGAGAGGAAACGAGCATGCATGCTTGCTGGGGATACCAGACTGGACACGCCTCAAAAAGTCATGGACGTTGGTTACAAGAAACCAGCTGCTTAACCTCACCATCTGTGCTGCGCTGCGCCTATGCCTATCCACACAGCATGCAACCGCAACAAGCCCACCAAGTCACCAACCCCGCCGCCCCCCCCCCCCACCCCCCCCCCCTCCCCCCTCCCTCCCACCTCGCCTCACAACCCTCTCTCACTGCCCTCCCCCCCTGCCCCACCACTCACCAGTGCTACTGTGTTGGTGGGCGGCAGCACAAACCTCGCCACCGGTCCGAACCGCTGGAACAGCCCCACCAGCTCCCCCGCCTCCACCTTGAACGGCAGATTCTTCACCAAAACCACACTCCTGCTGCGCGCCAAGCTCCCACCACCACCACCACCACCATTGTCCTTAACATCCGCCTTCCCAGCTGCTTTAGCGGCAGCGGCCTTGGCGGCAGCAGCGGTGGCGGCGGTGGCGAATTGCTCCATGAGAGCCACGTCGATGCCGGCATCAAGCAGAGCGCGCTTGGTGTCCGCCACTATGTGCGCCTCTCCTAAGGCAAGCCGCACTGCCGTGTCACTCGCTGATGGGTCGAGTAAGTCGCGTTTTGCCACTCCATACCGCTGCGCCACTGCTTCAGCTACCTGGAAACGGGAAGAGGAGGAAGCACAGAGCATAGAGCATTTGGAAGAAGGTGCGCCTAGAGTTGCAGCAGCGGTGGCAGCAGCAGTGGCGAATTGCTCCATAAGAGCCACGTCGATGCCGGCGTCAAGCAGAGCCCGCTTGATGTCCGCCACTATGTGCGCCTCTCCTAAGGCAAGCCGCACCGCCGTGTCGCTGGCTGACGGGTCCAGGAGGTCTCTCTTTGCCACTCCGTATCTTTGAGCCACTGCCTCTGCCACCTGTGGGAGGAGAGGAGAACGGGAGAGCGCATCGAGCACGGAGCGTCAAGCATGGGCTCTCCTTGAAGCAGGCATCGACGTGGCCCCCCTAGGGCCCGCTTGGTGTCCGCCCAACCATATCAGGTCACATCTAGGAGGAGCTCCAAGCACGAGTGTCCCCTCCTGGTTCTCTCTTTTCACACATTGTATCAGGGGGCATGTACAAGGAAGAAACGCATTCATGCACCTGCCCCATCGCATGTGCCCATCGCTCTTACCGTATCAGGTCGCATATAGAAGGAGCTCCAAGCGCGGGTGTCCCCTCCTGCTTCGCGCTTCTTCCTCTCCTCCTCCCTCCTCTCCTTCAGCGTTTTTGCGTGCAGGTGCGCATCCCTGCACGGGTGTTAAGGAGGAAACGCAACATGAAAGGTCAACAACATAACATCAGTCAAATTTTGTTGCATTGTACATTCATTCGGGCAGTCAGCGCACCCCACCTCACCCACTCCCTTCACTCCAACAGCCCTCCCTCCCACTATACGTCTGCCTGCAAGGCTTACTCGTATTGACCCGGCAGCACATGCAGCAGACAGCCTGGGCAGCAGCACAGGTGGGCACCTCGTGGCAGGCCGGTGCACTCTTCTCTTCTCCCTCTCATAACTCTCAATCTAATGTATCAACCACCACTCACTCGTCCTTCTTGGGGGGTGGCCTGTGAGCGGGCAGCACGTGCAACAGACGGCCTTGGAAGATGGAGGAGTCGAGGGCCTTCATGGCACTGCACAACATCACACGGGAAAGGGGAGGGGGGGATGGGAGGTGGCGGGGCATGAAGAGAGAGATGGGCGTGCATGTGCATTGGCAGCACGTGCAGTGCAGCAGGCGGCCCTGGAAGATGGAGGAGTCAAGGGCCTTCATGGCACTGCAGCGCAACACATTCACGTGATGGCAAGGGGAGAGGGGGGGGACAGTGGGGAGACGGAGAGGGGGTGAGGATGGATGGATGTGGGGGGACATGAAGAGAGAGACGGGTGTTGCATGTGCGCCGGCAGTACATGCAGCAGGCGGCCCTGGAAGATGGAGGAGTCGAGGGCCTTCATGGCACTGCAATGCAGCGCACAACACAAGATGGCACAGGCAAGGAATGGGAGGGGAGGAGAAGAGGTGGGCCGGGGGGAAATGAAGAGAGAGAAAGGTGTGCGACGAGGGAAGATGGACGAGTCGGGGACCTTCATGGCACTGCAGTGTAGCGCAAAACATTGCACGGGCAGATGGGGCAAGGCATTTGGGGAAAGGGCAGATAAGAGACAGACAGAGATGAGAGTGTGATGAGGGAAGATGGAGGAGTGGAGTGCATTCACGGCCCTAATCTCTGCTCGAAGGCCACTGGGCATAAAGGCACTCGCCATCAACGGAGGTGGGGTGCAGTGCAGATGGGTCGGGTCGGGGTCAGAAGGTGGCAGGACAGGAAGACCAAATCGCGGGTTTTGAGGCACCTAAAGGGGCAGAGAGAGAAGGATGGCAAAGAGGGGCATAGAGAGGTGGGTGGATGGATGCAATGCAACAGCATAATAGAAGGCCAACCCCTGGAAAACATTCGCAAGGTCGGTCACCACGGGGTTTGCCCGTGGATGGATCTGTATGGAGTTTTGGAGGATGAGAGAAACGAAGCTCCGAATCTTACTGGTAGCATCTTCAGGCACATTGAAGCGCGCATAGGCGACGCCTTTGGAGAGCCATGGGGGAGCCATGCCATCAGGTGGGCATGCTGCAAGGGCTCCCTGATGGCATGGCTCCCCCATGGGGGAGCCCTTGCAGCATGCCCACCTGATGGCACCCACCCACCCGCACCTGACAGCATCTTCAGGCACAGTAAAGAGCGCGTAGGCAAAGCCCTTGGAGAGCTGGCGGGTTGGGGAGATCCTGCAAGCAACCTGGCCATGGCCTGTGCGCACCTGGCACCAATAACATCCACCTCACAGCACCAACCAACCACTGCCCACCTGACAGCATCTTCAGGCACAGTAAAGAGCGCGTAGGCAAAGCCCTTGGAGAGCTTGGTGTGTCGGTCCACCACCAGATGCACCTCTGCGAGCGATCCATAGGGGGCGAGCAGGGCGCGCAGGTCGTCCTCCCTGCAGTATAGGGCAGGGTGAGTGGAGTAGAGGGGAACGGAGATGAGAAAATGATGAGCTTGGTGTGTCGGTCCACCACCAGATGCACCTCTGCGAGCGATCCATAGGGGGCGAGCAGGGCGCGCAGGTCGTCCTCCCTGCGGGATAGGGGTGAGCGAGTGGAGGAGATAGAAAGAACAACTTCAGGGCGCCTTAAAAGAAGACCTTGAAGAGCTTGGTGTGGCGGTCCAGCACAATAAGCACCTCTGCCAGCGAGCCGAGTGGGGCGAGCAGATGAGCTTGGTGGGGCGGTGCAGCACGAGATGCACCTCTGCTAGCGGAGTAGAGAGAACAAGAGTGGAGAGCTGAAGGGGGATAGCAGGGCGAGTAGGTCGTTCTCTCCACTCTGCAAGGTAGGGGTTGAAGTGAACGGAGGAGAAGGAAAGAGGGGGGTGAGGGAGAGGGGCGTAGGAGGCAGAGTGAGATAGGGAGGGGAAGAGTTAACAAGAGCGGGAGGCGCGTACGAGGCGGAGTAGCAGAGGTTGCGGATGAAGAGTCGGCCCGTCTCCCTCACATCCTCCGCTGCCCCTCCATCCACCACTGCCCCCCCTCCCTCCTCCGCTGCTGCTCCATCCACCACATCATCCGTGTTACAGTCCCCTTCCCCTTCCTCCTCTTCATCCCCTTGTTCTCCTTCTTCCTCTTCGTCCTCGTTCTCCTCCCCTTCCTCCTCTTCCTCCTCCTCTTCTTCTCCCCCCTCGTCCCCCTCCTCCACATCTCCGTCCTCCTCTCCCTCACTCTCTTCCACGCCCCCCCCCACTTTTTCCTTCTTTCCCTCCTCTTCACCATCATCATCGTCATCATCACTCCAATTCGAAGCAACCTTTTTCTTAAGGTAGTCCAAATTACTCAGACCCTCCTCCTCCTCCTTTTCCTCCCCTTCCTCCCCCTCCTCCCCCTCCTCCCCCTCACTCCCATCCTCCTCCTCCCCATCTCCGTCCCCCTTCTCTTCCCCCTCCTCCTCACTCCCATCCCCCTCTACAATCACATCCCCATACAAATCATCATCACTCTCCTCCCCTTCCTCCCCCTCCCCTCTCTTCCTCCCTCCCCTCCCCGCCTCCACGACACCTCCACTCACACTCCCACCACCCCTCCCCTTCCCCACTCCCCCTCCTCCCCCCCCATCCCCATCCACAGTATCATTCGCCCACACCTTCTTCTTCCCCCCCCTCTCCATCACCTCTAGAAACTCCCTGAATCCTTCATCCTCCTGCGCTGCCTGCTTCACAGCCACCCCTCCCACCACCCTCCCTGCCTTCTTCTTCCCTTTCTCCCCTCCCACTCCCTCCACTCCCTCCCCACCCTCCCCTCCGTCCCCTCCATCCCTTGCCTTTTTCCCGCCTTGTTTTCCCCCTTCCGCTGCTGCCGCTCCCTGTTCACCCGCCTTCCCCTCGCCCTTGGTATCTTTCGCCTGCGTGTGCTTGCTCCATGCACGGGGCAGCGCCGTGTGGCCGATGGGCATGGCGAACTGCAATGGAAGGGGAGACAGGGGAATGGGGATTACGGTGGGGCACTCTTGGCTTTCGATTGAGCTGACCTGGAAGTCATTCCCTCTTTCGCCTGGGTGTGCTTGCTCCATGCACGGGGCAGTGCTGTGTGGCCAATGGGCATGGCGAACTTCAAATGAAGGGGGGAGGCGGGGCAATGGGGATTGCGCCGGTGGGGCATTCATCATTACTGACTTTTGAGTTGACACTCAGACGTCATTGCCTTGGCCTGGGTGTGCTTGCTCCGTGCACGGGGCAATGCTGTGTGACCGATGGGCATCGCCAACTGAAGGCGGGGGGATGGCGGAGGAAGAGGGACAACTGAGATTGCTGGCTTTTGAGTTGACTAAAATAACACCTGTTTGGCCTGGGTGTGCTTGCTCCATGCACGGGGCAGTGCTGTGTGGCCGATGGGCATCGCAAACTGCGGGTGCGAGGATGGAAGAGACGGGGGAATGGTGGAGGAATGGGGATTGTGTTGTTTGTTTGCACGGGGCAACGCCGTGTGAGTGTGACCAATTGGCATCGCGAACTGAAGGCAAGGGGAACGCGGAGAAATGAGGAGGACGGATGAAAAGGGGAAATGGGGGTTCTTGGCTTTTGATTCGATTAGGATGTCACCTCTTACGCACGAGCTGGCAGCACGAGCACGTGCGAATGCGAACCCACTGGGGAGTGTGCTTGCTTAGTGCACGAGACGTGTGTGTGACCAATGGGTTCGCGTCGCTACTTCGATGGAGGGGATGGCGGAGGAACAGGGTTACCGGAGGATTAAGGTTCCGGGTTAGTGTGAAGAAGTCTAGGAAAGCCACATGCATGCAGTCTGCAGAGGTAACCATGTAACCATATGCAACAGGCCAGTTACCTCGCAGCTGGGGCGGTGTCTACTAGGGAGCGGTGATAGGCTGAGAGCATGCTATTACCTGCCTAACCGCTGCCTAGGGATGAGCGAGAACCTAAACCCAAACCCCTGTTCATCACCTCATGCAACAAGCGATTCGCCTCACGGGTTACCCCACCTCGCATGTGAGTCGAAACGTGTCCATGAAGGAGCGATTGAAGTAGGCGATCGCCGCTGCTGCCTCCTCCTCCGATCTCAGCCCCACGAAGCCAAACTGCCTCGACCGTCCTTCGCTGGTGGGAGGAGGTGTGGGGAGGGGGAGGGGTGGGGGAAAGGGGGGGAAGGCAGAGCAACATTCCTCCGATCTCAGCTACACAAAGCCAAACTGCCGCGACCGTCCTTCGCTGGTGGGGGAATGGGTTGGGGGGGAGAGGCGGGACGGGTGGTGCGGGGGGGGGGGGGAGGGGGGGGAAGGGGAGGGTGCGGGGAGGGTGAGAGGTGGGTGAGGGGAGGGGACGGGGGGGGAAAGGGGACGGTGCGTTGAGGGGAAAGGGAAGGGGACGGGGAGGGGAACGGGGAGGGAAAGGGGAGGGGTGGGAGGAAAGGAAAGTGGAGGGGGTAAGGGGAGGGGAAAGGGGAGGAGTAAGGGAGGGGTAAGGGGAGGGGTAAGGGGAGGGGAAGAAGACGGGAAGGTACGGAGCGGGGACGAGATGACAGAAGGGACGAGATGACAGAAGCAAGGGTATTCAACATCCCTCCAACCGAATACTAAAAAGGTACTGTTGCGACGATCCTCATTGGTGTCGGGTGAACTGCTTTTGAGTCGAATCAAAAGCAGACGTAAAAATAGTACTGCTGTCCTCATTGGTGTCGGGTAAAGGGGGGATGAGAAGTTGAGGAAAGGGAGACGATGTGATGTGGCAGAAGCGAGAGGATGAGCAACCCCCCCCTACTTGATTTCCCCCGCACTTGATTCCCCCGCGCTTATTTCTCCCGCACTTGATTCTCCCGCTCTTAACGGGGGAAAAGGAACCCAGCACCCAGCACAATGTCATGTCATGTGACGCTGGCTAGCAGGATCGCTCACCGCGTGCGCATGATCTTGGCGTCGGTGACGTGGCCCTTGACGGAAAAGTGCTCTCTCAGTCTATCCTCTGTCACGTATTCTGGCAACCCCTTGACGCACACGCGCGTACTTCGAGGCATCTGATGAGCCTCCTCCGTTTGTACCCCCATTGTCGGTCCCGCTAATGGCAGGCAACCTAGTGGTTAACGGAGCGTCAAAATGTTGAGACACGCCTACGGGTACACAAGAGGCGAACGCAGAGGAGCAGCGATCTACGTGGGAAACAAGGACTCTACTGGAGCTGGAAGCAACGGTCATGTATTTTGGTTTGCACAAGATGCTTCGAGCAATTAGGGTTTTACGAGTGCTGCTGCTGCTGAAAGGCATTTGGGTGGGAGGGAGAGGGGATATGAATGGGTTTGGGGACACGAGGTGTGTCAGATTCAGGAAGGGAGTGTGAACTGTAGTTCGGGTTTGTTCCGTGAAGTCGAACTTTAGGTGGTAACATATTACTCATATATATATCGCGATGGTCACGGGCGAAAACAACAACGCGCATGCACAACACCCTCTAGACAGGCAACGCTGGCAGTTTGACTGCTCAGAGTCGAACCAACAGTGACAAATTCGGGTCCTGGCTCGAACCACTCGAGAGAAGCCAACTCCAACCTCGCTCAAATGAACGGTTCGATACAGGGGTCGAATTCTGTCATTCAAAGTCACGCGCCCTAACATTCTCGTTTATGACTGAATGTAACCAACATTCCTGAAATGTTACACGCTCTAAAAAAAAAAGGCTCAATATAGCATTTCATTCGTTTATAATCAGCAACAAACATACTAAATGAAATCCAAGGCAATTACTGTGCTTCGAGCCCTATGACACTTTCTCTAAACATCGAGTAAAACTGGGCCTAGCCTCCTATTTGTTACACGGCTTGGCATTTTCCTTCATGGATCATCTCCTCTACCTTAGTCGTCAATGCATCATAACTTTTCACAACATCTATTTGACATCCAGACAGCCAAGGATATATCCTCTCATACGCCATACCAGCCTCCTCTGCTCCTCTTCTAAAATAAATAATATTCCTGCCGCCCCAGTAGCTCGACAGTACTGACGTGCCGCCCTGTACACTTACAAAGCACGAGCTCCGCGCCATTGTTCTAAACTGCACCTCGTTATAGTCACACCCCTGGCAGCTCCTACGAAGCTTGTGCATTGTAGTGAAACGAGGCTGCGACTGAAACTCCTCCCGGAACATTCTATACTCGCCTAAACCTGTCAGATCCCGCTGCTCCCGATCCGTCTTAAACGCCTTCCCCGCTCGGTTGTACACCACATAATACCCACTGTTGAGAAACTCAGTAATGATCCGCTTCAGCGTCGGAATGTCGATGAAATTAACCGGCGGCTCACCCCACTCAGTCTCAAACTTGTTACTGATCACAACCAAAGATGCACCTGCGGGAACGTCAGTCCAAATCGGGCCAAGCTCCCGAATGTGGGAGGCGAGAGGAGGAGCCGTCCACCTATCCGGAATCTCACTATCATGCAAACCCTCCTTAAACCCATACCGCTTGATCACGAAGTTAAAGTGTGCCGATCGCTTGCATTTCCATCCGACGGTCTGGATCGGACTGAAATAGTAGAGCAGCGCGAGCGACGGCATGGCGCAGAACCTAGTGGAGTTTAAGGAGCCGTTTAAATAGTGCCAGTAGGCGAACGGGAGGGCGGCGATTAACTCGTACCCGAACTCGCCTCGGAAAAAGATGTTGACAGGCGTGCGGATGGAAGCAGGAGGGGAACTATTGGTTGGGTCTAGGTTCGGTGTAGGCATGGTGCTGGTTGGGTCTTGGGTTGGCGCAGGAATGGTGCTAGTGGGAACCAAAGGACTTGGATGGTTTTGAGGGACGATGGAAATCTGGTTGGAGTAAGACAAGGAGGAAGAAGTGGAGGGATCTGGGAGTACGAGGGTACCTTGGGAAGCAGGAGGGATAGGAGGTGAGAATACAGAGGGGTTGGCTTCACGTGAGCTGTAGGTAGAAAGAGTGTCAGTGGTTAGGCTGGTGATTAGAGAGAGCGGTCCTGAATGATGGGCATCAGGCAAGGGGTAGGCTCGAAACGAGGAAGCGGAGGTGCTAGGATCGGTGTTCGCGGGTTCAGATGGTGTGATGTGTGGCTCGTGTCTTTGCCAGGACAGGTGGCTGGGATGAAAAAGGTGTAATGTGGACAAAGTCTTTTGAGGTAAGTCGGAAATCTCTTCAGGCGATGTGATGTTGGGCTGCTGTTGGTGCTGCAAGGGCTGCTGGCTGGGATGGGGAAGCGGTAACGTAGACAGTGACTTTTGAGGTGGCTCAGAAGTTGCTTCAGGAAGTGAGGTGTGTGGCTGGTGTCGGTCTAAGGACTGAGGTTGAGGAAGAGTTAAGGATGACAGCGAGTGGGGCAGCAGCAAGGATGAAACAGAGGTCGATGATGACACAGGAAAGGCTAAATCTGTATTTTGAGATTTCTCAACATGAGCCAGGGGAAAGGCTGCTTGCGTGGTATGAGAACTCTCGATCTGTGCCAGGGGGGGAGTTTCTTGCGCTGTGGAGTGGAGGGACGAATTTGTGGGTTTTTTAGCTTTCGAGGTGATTAAATTTTGAGAGAATGAGCCTGGCGAGGGAGGGAGAGGAGGGAGGGAGGAAGGGAGGGAGATGAAGAGGAGGATGAGAAGGGGTTGAAAAGGAGGGAGGGAGGGAGAGGAGGGAGGGAGGAAGGAAGGGTTGAAAAAAAGGGGTTGAGGTTAATGACGAAGTGTGTAATGCAGTGGGAAGATGAAAAGAGAGAGAAGAAAGAAAGAAAGTAAAACCTATGTGGGAGAAGCGTAGAGTGGGTGCAGAGGGCACCAACAAACAACAGCAACAGCAACAACTATACTTGGGACGTTACAGGGCAAGAACTAATATGTCGCACATCTAGGTGCCTGAAAATAAATCACCTGATGGGCCGCATTTCCCCAAACTCAAAAGTTTTACCTGTGGAGTGCAGATCTGGAGTAGAAGGGTCGTGTGATGGTAGCTTGGAGAGAGCACGGCGAGCGAAGGGCGTCGCCACGAAGCCGACGGCGACGAGGAGAAGAAACGCCACGACGAGTGGTAACCGTTTCGCGCATGGCCGTCGCGAGCAGCGCCAGAAGCGAGAGAAGCGCGAGTAGAGCCAGCGCCGGGGAAGCATGATGGAGGGGCGAGCAGGTCGCAGCGGAAAAACGGACGACGAGAGCACGGCGACGGGAAGCTTTTGAGTCGACTCAAAAGAAAACGGACGACGAGAGCACGGCGACGGGCAGCAGAACGGAAACCAGCACGTCTTGGAGCGTTTGTGCAGAATGACTGCCGCGCGGCGTGACGAGCAGGCGCAGAATCAAGCAGGAAACAAACAGGAGCAGCCGCAGCCGCAACCGCTGCATGCTACTCGATCCCCTGTGTGTAGCGTCGCATTTTGATTCCTTGGCTTTCACTAAAAGGGATATTCCCTGCTATTCCGAAACACCGAAGCGCGGGAAGACAGACGCACCAAAAAGGGAACAGCATGATAGGGGAACGCGCGCCTATTTATAAAAGAGATGGAATGTACATGCTACGAAAAGAGTCATCGGGATCGGCTGTACCGCCGCGCTGGGCGAGAGAAGTAGTAAACATCACTCGGAAAGGACTTCATTAGGACGGGTAGGTGCTTTCCTTACTATCTTGTGCTGAGCTGATGATACAAGGAATGTCGTTAGGGCGGATGGATGGATGGGCTTGAAAACAAGTCCCGATGGACGGCGGCTTAGAAAATGGGTTTCAGATTCCGCGAGAATCGCACAAATGTTGTAACCCGTTACGAAACAGCTCAATAGGTGAGCCTGCGAAGGTTGAGTGCGTTTTTGCCTTCGGCCGCTCGAGACCGCAGCAGGGGTTCGAACTTCGCAGCCCGAGGGACGACCCGATCGTCGCACATTGCGATGTCCCGATAACCGCGAACGGTACGCCTGCAACTTCGTGTCGTCGACCCACGTTTGACACGAAGCAGCGGACGCGACCTCACTTGTGTCACCAATGCAAACTCAATCTCAGCAAGTGCTATTTGATTCCTGCTCGAAACCCTACTGGACCGTTCTGGTATATGCCATGCCATGCCGCTCTGAGACACCGTATCTCACCCCACCGCAAACACTACTATGAAGTGCATCACGCAATCCTCCTAAAATGCCAACCAACAACCATGCCCCCAACCACTCATTGATCACCGCCATTCCCGCATTCTACGCCGCTTTTTGCTCAAATCTCCTAGCTGCACCCCGCTTCACGCAAACAGCTATTTAGGAAATGAATTAACCATGCCACCGAGTCAATCTGTTTTTCTTTCTCTGAGGAACGAAATTCCCAACAACGCATTTTCCTCTGAAAATCCGCTAGCTCCAATCCACAGCTTACAACTACTATTAGCTGACGTGGCAAAAGAGCTCATCACCGCGTAGCAACCATGCAACCTAGCGCGGCGCGGCAAGAATTCAAAATTCCCGGAATGAGTGGATCGCTATCCGCGCCGGTGCTCGTGCTCGCGCTAATCGGCGCGCTCGCCGTGTTCACCGAGGTCGTATCGCTCGTGCGCGTCGGCGTCTCGCCGTCCTACGTGTCGTTCTCGTCCGCCGTCGCCGCCGTTCACGACCGCGATGCCTCGTGGACGGAGCGCGGTACGGCGCCGGGAAATGCGGAGAACTACCTAGAAGGAGCGGCGTGGCCTGCGGGTGAGTCGGCTCGTGGGTGGAAACGCGACCAATCAAATAGGGGCAGGTGGATGCGGTGGGATGCGGTGGGAGTCGGTGGGATTAGGTGGAGGTAGGTGAGAGTAGGTGGCTAGATGTTCAAATAGCTTTTATTGCGCCTGTTAACCCTTTCCAGCTTGGAGGAAGTGAGGGAAAGCGAAGATGGGTGGATGCTGATAGTCGGATGGCGTGGTGGGAGGAGGGTCGTGGGAGAAGGGACGTGGGGGTGAAATGGCAGTGCGGCAATAGAACGTGGAGTGGATTTGAATCAGAAGTTTAGGAATCTTGGGTATGTGATGGAACGGGAGAAATCTTGGGTGAATTGCTTCTTCTCTTCTCTTCTTCCTCCTCTTCCACCACACCGCTCCTACTCCAGCCAGCCAATCACAGCTAACTGACACGTCAGACTTCATCACTCCTGACCCATTCAACCCACCAGATGCTCCCAGCACTGAAGCAGCCACCGAAGCAGCAGAAGCAGCAGCAGAAGGAGGAGGGGGGGAAGGAAGCTCGGGTGTTGACACTCTCCCGCCGCTCTCTCTGCTGCCCTCGGAGTCACGAGCAGGGCTCATGTTTGATGCTCTGCTGAGGGCGCAGTTCCGAGTGCAGCAGGTGCGATGCGGTTCAGTGCATTGTAGTGCGGTTGAGTGGTGTGCTGTGCAGTAGGTGTAGGTGCCTCGTGTCACTCTCTGCTGCCCCCCCGACCCGAGTCACAAGCACGGCTCATGGTCGATTCTCTTCTGAGGGCGCAGCTCCGCGTGCAGCAGGTGCGATGCGGCTCAGTGCGTTGTAGTACGGTTGAGATGTGCGGTAGCTTTAGTGTCGCTCATTCTTTTATGCCTCCGGAGTCACGAGCAGGGCTCATGTTCGATGCTCTGTTGAGGGCGCAGTTCCGCGTGCACCAGGTGCGGTACGGTGCACTGCACTGAGAGGTGCAATAAGTGCGGGAGCTTTGTCTCATGTTCAGTGCGCTCCTGACTGAGATTTCTTAGTTAGTTAGTGGATCCCCCCCAGGCGAGCAACTGGAGCCCAGCCCAGAAGAGCGTGGTGCGTACGTTGCGCAAGGGCAGGGCGAGCGTGACATTCCCCCCTCTTGCTATGCTACGCCTTTTGAGCCTTGTTCGCACACACACACACACACGTGGTGGACAGAAGGCAAGCTGTTGATTCCTTTTTCACGTATCGAAGGAATCAACGTTCATTTTGTTCCTCAAAGGTGTGGTTGATTGACTTGACAGCATGGCAGCAGAGGCACTGTGGCGGCCTCTTAGATCCATTCCATTACCCCCTCTCCCACTGTCTCCCTCACAGGCATGGGCAGCGGGTGAGCTTCTGGGTCCCACAGTGCGGTGGTTCCGCAAGGGGGTGGTGGAGAGCATGGCAGCAGAGGCGCTGTGGCGGCCTGCTGACGTCATTGCTGCTGCTGCTGCCGATGCTGCTATTGGCGCTGCTGATCCCGACGCTGCTGCCAAAGCTGCTTCAGGTATTGTTTTAGGATTTGTTTTGATGAGATTATGTTATGTCCGGGTGAAGGTTGTTTGTTAATTAAGCTTTGGAATTCCCTGTTAAGTTCCAATTCTGAAGCGATTTGGACCGTTCCTTGCAACGAGAGTGTCCGTTCGCCTGTTATCCCTCATTGAGTACTTGCTGAGTGGCAGGTTCTCTTCGGGTCAACACGCTGTATTGCATTGTATGCGCTCACCTTCTCTTCTCTAATCTTTCAAACCTGACGTCACTCCGCGGATGCCGTAGCAGCAACGGCAGCAGCAGCGACCAGAGAAGAGAGCAGAAGATTGATTCCATAGAATCGGGGCTGACTGCAGAGCAGAGTGGCAGGTGCGGGGCCGGCCAGCCTGGAACACATTGTATTGTATTGTGTGTAATGCACTCATCTTCTTTACTCCCATCCTCTCTTGCAACCCTGCCACTATGCCACAGAAGCAGCAGCAGCGAGAGAAGGGAGCAAAGGATTGGATCCTTTGAAACGAGTGTTCCTGCGGCTGCTGGCACTCACAGCGGAGTGGCAGGTGCGGGCCAACCAGAGGAGCTCATATCCCTTACTCTTCCCTTGCCTTGCTCCCCTCCAGATGCAGCTGCGGCAGCAGCAGCAGCAGCGGCGAGAGAGGGGAGCAGGGGATTGGATCCATTGAAACGAGTGTTCCTGCGGCTGCTGGCACTCACAGCGGAGTGGCAGGTGCGGGCCAACCAGGGACATGCGGAGACGGGGAAGCACGCCCCGTTTGGCCTCCATATAGTCACGCTGGGGGGGTCCATAACGAGAGGATTCAGCAGCAGAAGCACCCAGTGAGTGCGTTGTGGTTGACTGGTTGACTAGCTGACCTGTGGTGGAGATGGGAAAAAGATGGGAAAAGAATGGCCCGTTTGGCCTCCCTATAGTGGGGTTCAAAAAAACGACCGTTTTATTGAAAATTTACCGTAAAAAACGGTACCGTAAAAAACGGTCGTAAAAAACGGTTTGAAACGGTTCCAGGAGGTGTTTCCTCTATAACTAACAAAACGGCCACTAAGTGGGACCAAATTGAACCCGAAATGCAGCAGCATGAAGGGGATGGAGCCCTTCTTGCATGTATGCGCTTGTTGGCATAATTGAAAATGTTTTTGACCTTGTTTTTCTTTTTTTTTTCTTGGTGAACAGAGTTCTGTAACAAAAAAACGGCCGTTTTTTTGAAAAATCACCGTAAAAAACGACCGTAAAAAACGGATCGTATTTTACGAAAACCGTAATTTTGAACCTGACACTAAGGGGTTCCATAACGAGGGGCTTCAGCAGCAGAAGCACGCAGTGAGTGGCGGCTTGAGCCTGAGTGGGTTGGATTGCTGCCGCATCCAGGGGCGCTCGGAGAAGGGGAAAAGCGCTCCCTTGAGCCTGCATATAGTCACACTGAGGCTTTCGGGTAGAGAGACGGGTTTTGAGGCACCTCAGATGTTGTGGTAAGGGAACTGCGGGCAGAGAGGTGTGTTGTGAGGCGCCTCAAAAAGTGCGAGAAAGGGAAGAACGCTCCCCTTGGTCTGTATATCGTCACACGGGGGGGTTCAGCAGCTGAAGCACGCATGTAGTAAGTGCCAGGCTGTTGTGGGAGGGTTCTGTGGGTCGTGTCTGGTTGGTAGGGGTGTGTGTGGCTTGTGTGGCTGGATGGATGGGTGGCTCGTTGTACCACCCACCTCATTTCGAGCCTGCTCATAATTGAACTGACTGCATTTCCTCTTACCCTTCGCTGTGCCTGCCTCCCCTTCCATCCCTCTCTCTCCATCTTCTCTATTTTTTTTCGTCTCTCTCCCCTCCTGCCTCTCTCATCTCTCCTCCCCCCGCCGCCCCCCAGAGTGCGTCACCCCTGGCCGGACCTCCTACTGTGAAAGTAGCAAATTGAACAAGTCATTAGATTAGAGGAACAACCTAGCATACATAGTTGGAAGGGAAGGTTGGAAGGGAAGGATGAAAGTGACCATAGGTTGGGTTGACCTCACTTGGGGAAGTGAGGGAACCATAGGTCAAGTGGGTTGGGTTGCCCACACTTTGTAGAAGTGAGGCAACCCTAGGCCCACTTGGCTTGGGGTAACCTCAATTGTGGGAAGTGAAGTACCCACAAGTCAAGAGGGTTGCATTTGGGGGCTCCACCACAATTGGGTGGATTGGCACCCCAAAGTGCAAGACTACACCCAAAGTTGGGTGTAGTCCCAACCCAACTGTACACCACAATTGGTGTACAGTCACATGTGTTGGCATGCTACACAATATATATTTTAACACAACCCCTTAGCATGCTAACACAAGAAGAGAACAACCCCTGAATCAAGGGGCACCCGGGCGAGCAAGGCCAATGAGGCGGAGGAAGGCAGAGTGCGCGGGGCGAAGGAGGGCCTTAGTGAAGATGTCGGCCAAGTTGGCCTCGGTTGCAATCTTGCGAACGGCAATGAGGCCCTTCTGGACGAGCTCGCGAACGAAGAAGTAGCGGAGTTCGATGTGCTTGGAGCGGGCGTGATAGACGGGGTCCTGAGTGAGATGGATGGTGCTGGCGTTGTCGCACCAGAGAGTGGGGCACGTCTGGGGGGCGCCAAGCTCCGCAAGAAGGAAGCAGAGCCAGCGCGACTCCTGGGCGGCCATGGTGCCAGCGTAGAGCTCGGCTTCGCAGGTGGAGAGAGAGATGGCGGAGGAGCGGGTGGAGCGCCAGCTGATGAGGCCGCTGCCAAGGGTGAAGCCGTGGCCCTGGGAGGAGCGGCGGTCCGGCTGCGTGTCAGCCCATGAGGAGTCACTGAAGCCCGAGAGAAGGGGACGGGAAGGGCCGCCGAGGGTGAGGGCAAGGTCCCTGGTCCCGCGAAGGTAGCGGAGGACCCGCTTGGCAGCTTTCCAGTGCTCCTCAGAGTGACGACCGGTGCCGACAAAGCGAGCGAGCACGCTGATGGGGTAGGCGAGGTCGGGGCGGGTGCACATCATTGCGTACATCAAGGACCCAACGAGCTCGGCATAGGGGTGGGGGGAGGAGGTGGGGGAGGTGGGTGGAGCGAGTTGGTGACCGAAGGGGAGCGGGGTGGAAACAGGCTTGGCTTGCGCCATGTCGAACTTCTCCAAGACCTGGCCGATGTAATGGGACTGGGAGAGGGTGATTGTGCGAGCAGGGCGGTTGCGCGTGATGGTCATGCCGAGGTAGTGAGTGAGGGCGCCAAGGTCCTTGCACTTGAGCCGCTGCTGCAGGGACAGCTTCACCTGCTCCATGTCGGCCTTGGTGTCAGAGAGCAGGATCATGTCGTCGACATATACCAGAATGAAGAAGCGGCGGGGGGAGGAGCGGATGAAGAGGCTGGCGTCGGAGTGGGAAGCAGAGAAGCCGAGGGACCCCAAGGTGGCAGCCAGCTTCGCATGCCACTCACGCGGTGCCTGCTTCAAGCCGTAGACGGGGCGACGCAGCTGCCAGACAGTGTTCTCAGGAAAGGCTGCGTGGAACCCGGGGGGTCGCCGGAGGAAAATGCGCTCATGCAGGTCGCCCTGCAGGAACGCATTGGAGACGTCCATGGAGTCGATTTCCATGTCGTCACGTGCACCAATGTCCATGGCGGTGCGAAGGGTGGGTGGTTTGGCGGTGGGGGCGTAGGTGAACCAGTAGTCCTCAGCCCAAGTCTGCGTGAACCCCTTGGCGCAGTAGCGGGCCTTGTACACTGGTTCCTCGCCCGGCAGCTGCTTCACCCGAAAGACCCATTTCCCGTCCACGAGGTTGGCGCCGGCTGGGAGGGGGACATCGACAAAGGAGTCGTTGCGAATGAATGCCTCACACTCCAGGAAGATCGCTGCTATCAATTTATCCGCGTCAGGGCAGGTGATGGCTTCCTGGAAGGTGGAGGGAGTGAAGATGGTGGGGGTGGTGGTGGCGCCAAGGACAGGAAAGCCCAGGAAGTCAAGGTAGAGGGAGGCAAGGAACGGAGTGTGCTCCCGAATGTTGAGGAACTCCTCATGGGAGTCCTCAAGGAGCTGAATGGAGGCAGGAGGAGGAGCCCCAAGGATTTTGTCCACCGAGCGGGTATGGATGTAAGGGAGGAGGAAGGGGGAGGAGCGGGAAGTGGCACGGCGCCGCTGCTGCTGCTGGTGCTGCTGAAGCTGCTGCCCTTGTTGTTGCGGCTGCTGCGGACCGTGCTGCTGCTGTGTCTGCTGCTGCTGCTGCTGCTGTCCCGGTTGCTGCTGTTGCGGCTGCCCCGGCTGCTGCTGCTGCTGCTGCTGCTGCTCCGGCTGCTGCTGCTGCTGCTGCCCCGGCTGCCGTTGCTGCTGCTGCTGTTGCCCCTGCTGCCGTTGCTGGTGTTGCTCCGGCTGCTGCTGCTGCTGCCGCGGCTGCTGCTGGTGCTGCTGCTGCCCCTGCTGGTGCTGATCCGGCTGCTGCTGCTGCTGCTGCTGCTGCCCCTGCTGTTGCTGATCCGGCTGCTGGAAAGGAGGAGAATGAGAGGAGGAGGGAGAGGGGGGAGGGGGTGCAGTGGAGTGAGCGGGGGAGGCGGGTGCGGCAGGGTTGTAGACGTCGGCAGAGGAGGAAGGCGGGAGTGGAGCGGCGACAGGTGGGAGGAGAGGCGCTGGAGGGAGAAGAGGCGGGAGGACGGTGTCGGTCCAAGCGAGGGGGCGAGTGGGAGGAGGGAGGGGGTCAGGAGGAGGGGTGGAGTAGTAGGGAGTGGACTCGTCGAAGACGACGTCAATGCTGCGGATGAGGCGATTGGTGGGAGGGTGGAGGAATAGGTAGCCAGGGGAATCACGATTGTGCCCAAGGTAGACACACTCCAGAGCGCGGGACGCGAGCACGCGCTTTCCCCACCCAGGACGCCGATGCAACGCGAGCGCTGCACCTGCCGACCCGGGGTTTGGGCTGCGATTGACCCCGCAGCCCAAGGGCTCACTGAGTGTGTCAATGATCCTTCCGCAGGTTCACCTACGGAACGGTGAAATCCTGCATTATTGCCAACGGAGGGAGGAGCGCGGTCTCCCGCGCTCGCCGACTGTATCTTAGGCCTGCCTGGTCCGTGCATCGCGAGACGCAAGGAGAACAAGGCAGACCCACCGTCGTTCAGTCTGTGAACTGCCCCTTGCCGGTTCCGAGTCACGGGGACTCGGGAACGGGCCCGGGTTGGCTGCGGATCGTCTCACCCGGCCGTGCGTTTTCACCATACCCCGATGCCTCGTCTGCGCCGGGCCACGCCCCTGACTGGTCGGCCCCGTTGCAAAAAAAATTCGAACGGGGGAGCCCGAGCCGGGTTGGCGCTTGGTAGCACGACCTCTCGAGAGGTCTCCGCAGTTGGACGGTGTCGCTCCCGAGGGAGGGGGGTTGGCCATCCCACCCCACGCCTCGGTGCACTAGCGCTTAGCGTCCCTTGTTGATAAGAGGGACGCACCTGCCTCTTTTTTTTCACGAGGCAGGCCGCTCAGGCTTCCGTGTACGTGCAAATCCCCTGCGGAAGGAAGGGGGTTTGTGCCGCGCACGGCAACCTTGTTACGACTTCTCCTTCCTCTAAATGATAAGGTTTAATGAACTTCAGGCAGCGTCACCGACGGGTGACCGTCAGCGTCGTCGCTTTCCGTAAACTTCACCGGATCATTCAATCGGTAGGAGCGACGGGCGGTGTGTACAAAGGGCAGGGACGTAATCAACGCGAGCTGATGACTCACGCTTACTAGGTATTCCTCGTTGAAGATCAATAATTGCAACGATCTATCCCCATCACGATGAATTTTCAGAGATTTCCTAGACCTCTCGGTCAAGGGTGAGCTCGTTGAATTCATCAGTGTAGCGCGCGTGCGGCCCAGAACATCTAAGGGCATCA